ATCTGTTAACTCAGAAAGGCAGGAGGAAAGTCTAGAATAGAACTGCAGAACTTGTAGAGCGAAAAGGCCCACATTGATAAATTAAAAATCTTTGTGGGCCACAAAGGAATACGGGAGTGCTGATCAGGAGTTTGTGGCTAGTGGAGCATCAGTGGTGCTGGAGCTGGCGGTGGTGGTAAGTGTTGAAGGTGCTCAGCAGCACTTCTTTCAGAGTGGCGGTAGTGAGTTTATTACTTTTTAAAAAATGCCAGTGGGCTGCCCAAAGCCGCTTGGTGGGCTGCATGCAGCCACAGGCTCTATATTGTACGGGCCTGGCCTACAATTTATTTTGGAGTATACACCTATCTAAAGACATCCATTTTTTGCACTGCAAAGGACATATCATCTGTTGGGTATATGGCTTTATTTTTGCCTGCAAAAAAGATTCTAAATTAATTGAGTCATTTCCTGGTGTGAAGTCTGACAGCTTGAGTTAAAGAGCCTATAAAATCTCAAATGACTCCAGTTGTTTGTTCAAGTATGCTAATGTTCTAAGGTAAATATTATTCATACTATATAATATCCAAATGAGCACCTCAATAGCATGTGGGATTTCTGGTGAGATGTGATGGGCTTCATAATTTGTTGATTGAACAAAACCACCATGCCATATGTGTATATGCAACCGCAATTATTTTTCAAGCTACATTAATTGTACACATGGCACACATCACAAATCAGATTCCTCTTTAATGGACTATTCCTTTGCATGACCATAGGACATTTGGAAACTCAATTATGTTCTTATGCTTCCAAAGCATTCTTCCTTATCTTCCTGGTACGTTAATCACCATAAAAACACTCAAGGTCTCTTGGGACAAGAATAAAATAAGTATGGTATTTGAGGAATGCAACTAGAAAGCATTCACAATGCTCAATATATTCAAATTTCATTTTGTTTGAGGCAACGTCTTATACATGAATTGCCACTGATTGTCTGTTTTAATAAAAGTAATTTAAATTGCTTTGTTTTTCACCTGATTTCAAATTAAATGAATTTTATTGGTTGACAATGTGATTTTTCAAAGTACAACTGTCATATGCAATAAACTTGTTTTGGATTATTAAGTGTGTGCTGATTATTTCATCCCTAATGCATTTTAACAACATATTCTATTTGCAAATCATTTCAATTTTAAAGTTCTTTGTGCAAAAACAAAAATAACAGATTTAAAATCAGTTATCATTATACTGTATATAAAAAATCTCCATCCTCCAAACCTTTGCATAGTTAACAAACAGATGCTTTGTGATTAAAAAAAGACTGGGTACATCTGATTATGTATTACTATGGCATTAATACAAACATTGGAGCAGTGGATAAAAAATAAAGATGCCCTAGACACTGGCAGCATTGTGGAAAGTTTTGCTATTGCATTTTTTTTAACTTCCCAGCTTAGCCAACAATCATGGAATTCCCAGAGGGTTCCCCATCCAACCAGGGCCAATTCTGCTTAGCTTCTGAGATCAGCCAGAGTTCACTAGGTGTTACGTCTGCTGTGGCAGTAATAGCTTTTTGTGTAAATACTAAGGAAGTGCTTTGACATTAGCCTTCTTCTAGTCTGCCTATTTCAATTTCCAAGTCTGGCCTACAGACTTGTAATTCCCTGGTGGTCTTCCAGCAAGTACTAGTCAGGTTTGACCCTTCTTAGTTTCTGAGTTCAGACAAGTGTGATTAGGCATTGCCATTTAAGACCTCCAAATTCAAAGGCTTTTTTCCTTTTTTCTTAAAAATTTCAACTAATTCCTTCTCTTCCATTCTTCTCCTAGATGTACTCTGGAAAAACTTCAAGTACAACTGTACATTTGCTCTTTAGTTTATCCCTTTCTTTCTTTCTTTCTTTCTCTTTCTCTTTCTTTCTTTCTTTCTTTCTTTCTTTCTTTCTTTCTTTCTTTCTTTCTTTCTTTCTTTCTTTCTTTCTTTCTTTCTTTCTTTCTTTCTTTCTTTCTTTCTTTCTTTCTTTCTTTTTCTTTCTTTCTTTCATCCATCCATCCATCCATC